GAATTGACTGAAATTTCAAAAATCTTCTTCTCAAGACCCAGATATGGTAGAATCAAATACTCTTCATAGATGGTGAAAGGTCTTAGGGTTTATGACCCTAGGGTCTCACGTTTATCCCCTGGGGAAGGAGGGGGGGGGGCAAAATTTATTATGGTTTATAATGGCAAATGATACTTTGAATATTACATGTTAATAACTTTATTGGAATTATAACCTTGAATTGACAGTTAAATACTTTGAACATTTTGAGCCAGCCCTACCCCCAAGGGCTGTAGGGTGGGGCTCAAAGGAGTCAGTGTGCTAAAATTTCTTCATTTTCCTTGTTTAGAATCAGAGGTGCTAGTTTCAAACCCTTTTTAGTCTGAAATCTGTATGCTAGATATTGAATAAGGTGGTTTAATTGTTTTTTGTCACTTTGAATAATATTTCAGTTCATGTTAAAAACAAAATCAACTCTCTGTATAAATATATCAGGTGACCGTTAAGGCCCATGGGCCTCTTGTTTATATTGTAAAGCCAAGCAACAACAAATATAATACGATAAATATTATTGTAAAGCCAAGCTAAAAATATCTTTTACATTGTGTCAAATGTGGTGTTTCTGTTTACATATTGTCAATATAGAACTGAGTAGCACAAGAACAAATTACAACTATAAAACGATAACAATAGGCACATGGGAGAAACGCAAAAACAAATTGATTCAAAAACACTCTGTGGTTACCCCCGGGGTTTGGAAAGACCAGCGTTACCTTCAATTCACCTTACATTATTGTAGAATTAAACACCACAATATCGACATTTCCGCCATAGGAATTATAATATACAAAGAAAAAGTAGAGCAGTCGACTGCCTAAATTGGTGCTATTTTACATACAAGTAAATATTAAAATGAAAAGTTCAACACATCTTTGTTATATTATTAAATAGTATCAGGGTTTGCATTATTACTTAAATGCTATTTTAGTGAAACATGCCGATCGATTACGGAAATGCATTATTGAAACAAATTGTGCTCTCGCTAATTCTACTAAATGCTGAATGTTTAAAACCTTAAGAATTTCAATACAATCTTGAACATATTGTTTTGTCTTAAATATAATCTCCTTTATTTTTGTGTACAGAAATATTTGTAATGTTATATTTTTGCGTATGGCTTTTGTTGATCTTCGTGGAATTGACTTTGAGAACACTTGCTAGACGTATGAAGTAAGCAAGCATGCACGCAAGCACCTATTCATACATTTAGTCGATGCAAAATGCCTAACAACATATGATTTTTCTTGTTAGATTTATTGTTATATAATTGCACAAAAACTATGTTTTATATATTTCACCCGTGTGAAATACGTATGTGACATTAAACACGGGACAAGAACAGATGCTTTGTCACCGTTACACATACCTAATGAAAATTAAGCTATTGTGTAAAGACTGAACGCAAACCACAACTTACAGTGAGTTTTGTACCTGATACTACTTTACACTTGTGTTTTTTGTATTAATTTTCTCTGATTATTATCAGAGAGAAACAGCCATAATCGAATAAGTAGTTGACTGCCTTATTTATAGAATCGCTATCGTACACATTATGTGTTTACACATGATGAGTGTTTCTGTAAAGAAAGAAAAACGTTGGATTCAAAAAAACACATATAGATACAATACATTTATATTGTTTTCATACAGTTTTTAATTCATATTACACACTATGTAAATCCTATTCATTAGTTTACCTTTATAATGTTTATATTTGTGTATGTCATGCAACATTTTTATTGAAGTAAGCTCTTCAAAGAAAAACAACAACATTGGGCGTTATGGTTTAGTAAACGTGACCAGTATTGGCTAATGAATATCTTCAAATAGGTCAGAATAGTATTACAATTATACATGATACAGACAACGACGTTTCCCGGTAGTATTATTAAAACCAAAACGTAATGAAATATTCTTGAAAAAATAGCCTCACATTCTGCGAAGTTGATATATCTCTGGTCCATGCACCAAATGTCGATAAGAAAACTGAACAATAACATTCAACCACCGTTTGAAAAATCGCTTCAAATCAGTTTAAAAGCCTAAAGGAGCTTAATAGTTCATAATGTCACGAGAAATGTTTAGAATGTGCGCTGGTGCGCAATGGGTCTTCCATTGTTCTTTTTTGCTCATCAACTAAATTCTCATAGAACTTATAGAATTACAAGTTAATCAAATAACACCAGAACCCAAAACGATCCAAGGTACATACAATAACATGTACGTTGAAAGGATGTGACCTAATTGTGTCTTTATAAAACCCTATTTCACGCTAGCACAAGCGAATAAGTCGGTTTCCTCAACACAATGGAATTCTCTATTCAAGGGACCGAAGAAAACATTCATAACATCTCAGATAACTTTGTCAATGTTAGGGTCGTAGTAAAATATTGGTTTAGAAGTAGGCCAAATATTGTGTATATATATGTATGGATATGTTCACAGATTTTCGGTATGCCTTCACCATTTTTTAGGGCGGTGCAGGATTTAATGTTTGTTTATGATTCTCCACTGATAGATAGGTGTACAGTAATGCATACGTGTGTTTGTACTGGATGTAAAGGACTAATAAATGTTTGTATCGGATATTTGGCACAAGTAGGTAGGCGTACAGCAACCATCAAAGTACAATGTGAGTGTATTACGGTAGTACATGATAAACTTTATATTTGTTTATAGTCATTCGTTCTTTTGTATATGTGTACAGTTAATTATGCTAATAATTCCATACAGGTCTTTGGGTTAAATGAACTTGAACATATATTTACATATAATGAAAGAATAGGGAAACGCAGGGTTAACATTTGAGGTAATATAATGTTATGTATGTGAATGTTACTGTAAATACAATGTTTTATATTAAGTATAAAAAGGGCGTCTTAAATAAACAATCACCAGAACTTCATTAGATTATGACCGATTATTCATGAGTAATTGAAGAACATTTGACAGAACCCCCTCCCCCTCCCCAATATTGCAACATGAATTCGCCCGACTCGGTATCTCTCGTATGCCCCCTAGCGCATCTGTCACAGCGCTGAATATCTTGGAGTCAATCAGTGCCTTTCTAACGGGGGTATTGACCACTCTTCTAATAAGGCAGCCCTTAATTGGTTCGTCGAGAGTAGCGGGGGCATTCCGACGCCCCCCTTATCCTCCTGTCCAATTAGTCCCAGCAATGTTCGATTGCTGACAAATTTGGACAATACGGCTGCCAGCCGAGTTGGGTAATATTATGGTTTTATGGTCTTGACAAACTCTGGCTACACCGCCGGATATTGTCATGCTGGAAACTTGGGTGATGCTGTTGCAAAAATGGAACTGCAACCGGGCAGAGGAATCATCCCTATATCTTACAGCTGTTAAATTTCCGGCTGCCATAATCAATGGTGACTTAAGAAATCCCTCCCAAGACCATAATCGAACCTCCC